AGGCAAAAACTAAAATGCCTATGATTTTAGATAATGACCGCAATCCCTGAAAAATTTTAGGAAGTTCCTAAACTTTTTAGGCAAAACCCGCAATGCCTAAAAAAATGCAGGCAAAAGTAGCAATGCCTAAGTCAGTTTAGGCATTTTTGTTTTTAAATAATTTTCCATTTAAAATCATTTGTAACACTGGCAGTATTTATTGTTTTATATAATATATATAATATATGATAAAATATATAATGTTTATATAATTTATGTAATATATAATATTTTTTTATATAATAACAATTGTTGAAAGTTATATTGCATGCAATATATATTTCATGGACGACATATCGTCTGTAAACTAATCATAATAATTATTTGTTTTTGCAAGTTGCACTGCCATGACATTTAGAGTTACATAAAACTTTATGTTTTTTACATATGGCCGATTCTCTGTGAAATCGAATGGCCAAAAAAATTTTTTTTCTGCAAATATGAAAAACTTGCTGTTCCCGATGTCAGAAATGTCCCCAAATTTTATTAGAATTTTTGGGACCATCAATCACTCTTTTTCAGGGGCCCGAAGTTGGCCATTTTAGGGTTTTTTTGAAATTCATGAAAAATCACAAATATTCAAATAATTCCTGGATCAGGGTAGAATGATTCAAAAGTAAAAGTGCCCAGCAACTTTTTTGTTGGAAATTGTCCAAATTTTCAGAAAAAAAATATGCCAAAGTGATTGGAACAATCTAGGTAAGTGTAAAGCAAAAAAACTGCAAAAGGAACATAAATCATGAAATCTAATCGAGTTCGAACCGGACTTTCATTTCCTAAACTGTGTAAAAAGCTTCCCAAAGATGTCAACTTATGCCTGATAAAGTTTTGTAATGGGTCTTAAAGTTTAACGCAATGTAGACAACAATGTGTGGCGAAAAACATGCAAAAAAGGACTGAAAATGGCTGATTTTGGTGATTTTAGGCATTTTGGGCCTATTTTTGACCTTTTTTGCATGTTTTTCGCCACACATTGCGTTAAACTTTAAGACCCATTACAAAACTTTATCAGGCATTAGTTGACATCTATGGGAAGCTTTTTACATAGTTTAGGAAATGAAAGTCCGGTTCGAACTCGATTAGATTTCATGATTTATGTTACTTTTGCAGTTTTTTTGCTTTACACTTACCTAGATTGTTCCAATCACTTTGGCATATTTTTTTTCTGAAAATTTGGACAATTTCCAACAAAAAAGTTGCTGGGCACTTTTACTTTTGAATCATTCTACCCTGATCCAGGAATTATTTGAATATTTGTGATTTTTCATGAATTTCAAAAAAACCCTAAAATGGCCAACTTCGGGCCCCTGAAAAAGAGTGATAGATGGTCCCAAAAATTCTTATAAAATTTGGGGACATTTCTGACATCGGGAACAGCAAGTTTTTTATATTTGCAGAAAAAAAAATTTTTTGGCCATTCGATTTTACAGAGAATCGACCATATGCATCTATACGTGTTGCACGTGGTTTGGCAATTACATTTCAAGAATCCTTGCCCCCCGGAGTTCGATTGTTTATTTGCCACCGTCCTTAATGATAATGTTTCTTCGAGGGGTATGTCTGATATCTGCAGAAAATTTCTTCGGGACAATTCAAATTCGGACCTAGAAATAGAGAAATTCGTTGGTACATTTTACAATTACTTTAAACATGATAATTCGCAGATAAAATATTCACCGGCAATAATGTTTGTTAAGGATCCCGTATTTTGTTCCGACTTTATACAAGTTATTCTTGACTTCCAATATAATACCAATTACATTTCTTAAATCGCCTTTTGCCCTGTCCACATCGGGAATCGTAATGATAACGCAATCACCCACTGTGGCCGCCTTGTGCAAATCATCGGACCGGGTCTTCATTCGCTTTGCTTGTCTTTCCAAACCTTCTGCAGTTCGTTTCCTTGTAGCGTGAATATTATTATTTGATGAAACAAGTTCGGCGATCTTTTGACTTTCTTACTGAGGAGGATTTTCATCGATCTTTTGACTTTCTTGCTGAGAAGGATTTTCGTCGATCGTCGTCATAGGAAAGCAAGCTGGTCGTATGCTATGCAGTACTTGAACAAGATCATCTTCGTCGCTAATCTTTGAAATTACATCTGAGGGTAACCCTGTAGATGATAGGCCTATTCTTGGTTCAAACCCAAACATAGCCTTATATGTACTTTGTCTAATTCCCGAATGGAAAGCTCTATTTTTAGAAAACTGAACAAATGGTAATCCTTGAGGCCATTTGTCAGTTTTATTTTCTGCCATCCATACGGCAATCATGTTTTCTATATCTCGGTTCACTCTTTCTACAGATCCTTGTGATTGGCTATGACGTGGCTTCCTATGTATAATTACCGATTCAGGCCACATAGACTTTACTTCATGGATGATTGAATTCACAAATTCTCGACCATTGTCAGATTGTAATATGCATAGCGCCCCAAGTAAAAGTAAAAATATATTGAGAAGATGATAATAATAAAATAATAGAATAATAAATCTATAATAGAACTCGTTCGTCAGTCACTTACCTCTTCTTCTCATTTCGTTTTAAGAGCCTTCAACATTACAAATTTGGTCAGGTGATCCTGATATACCATGACCTATTTATAAACATTATCAAGATGCCTTGGTAATCTATAAGATCGACTTGGCAACGACTATTCATTTGATGGTGCAAAATGGGCTTCGATACTAACCCTCGATGTCGTTTAACTTTTTTTTGCTCGCAGATCTCGCACATTGTCAAATATAGATTTACCATTTCGCTCGTTACATTGGCGTATTTTTTGGCTGTTTAATTAGTAAACGATCACAACCACCATGACCTTTACCGGTATGAGCCTCTTCTAAAATATCGTAGATATCCTCAACCGCCGCATAATATTTGAACCCTGCATCGGTACATTTTGAAATCAGACGATTTCTACCATCAATTTCAATAATGTCAAATCGTTTCAATCGACGTCTTTGTGGCCACGTTCTTTCATTATTTTTCATTGCTTTAGCACTCAAAATATCCTTCATTATTTCATCACGTTTAGCTGTTGTCATAACTTTATAATGTTCTCCGATTTTTGCTTGAGTAATAAACTCCTGTTTCCAGTCTTTTTTTGAACTTTCTACGCTCATTTTAAAAATAGATTTTTACAATAGATTAGGACAAAATAAAATACTCAATAACGATGAAGAGTCAAAAAGCAACTGAACAGTACACTCTCTGCCTACTTAGTGAACAAGTATTCATCACATACGTACATAAAATCAACAACCACGAAGTAAACACAGTCAATTCAATAAATACTGCCAGTATAACAAATGATTTTAAATGGAAAATTATTTAAAAACAAAAATGCCTAAACTGACTTAGGCAATTGCCTGTATTATTTTAGGCATTGCGGGTTTTGCCTAAAAAGCTTAGGAACTTCCTAAACTTTTTCAGGGATTGCGGTTATTACCTAAAATCATAGGCATTTTTGTTTTTGCCTAGGCAAAAGCAGCTTTTCCCTAAAAGCGGGTTTTGCCGGTAACATATACATCCGGTGGCAAGAGTATCGAGTGTATACGAAGAGGTTTAGGTGTGATCTGCTTGTTCTTTTATCGTCTGGTTTGTGTCATCTGTTCTATTGTGCTTTACGATGCAGGCATCGTATCGACTGATTCTGTGCGTCTCATTGTGTACTCTTGAGGAGCATCTGTTTCTTGATTAGTATCGTATCGTCTTGAGAGACCTCTTTTTTAAGTCTCAAGTGCTAAAGTGTATTGGAGAAGAACATACATGTGTGATAGGGGCAAGGTGTACAGGGTTCGTCTCGTCTTACAGCTTATATCTACGCGTGAGCTCGAAGGTGGATTTCAATGACTTGTAGCGCATAAAGTATGCCGCTACAGACGTTAGGTTTAGGCTCTTATGCTATAATTGTATACTATGACACGTGTGTACAAGATACTTTTCTATAGCGTTGTGCTAAGTTCATATTTATGCGTTCTTTTCCGAGTTATAAGTCGCACTTTCTGATACCGCGGAGTGAGGTAAGTGCACGAGCGCAGCGAGTGTGATAGGCGCGACGTGTGTCTATCTGGGATAGTTAAATATTGTCCTTATGTGTTTTCCTGTTGGAAATATATATTGAATTGATAATTTTCTATAACTCACAAAGTTTCAAGCAGTCTCAGAGACATAAATGTATTATTATACATAAATTGGGGTATTTTTGGCTTTTTTAACTCTGGGGAAGTTATATTACATCTCAAAATTACTCTGTTGCCGTAACTCTCCATGAGAACCGTTTGAGCAAATGAGTTGAAATTTTCAAAGGTTATTCTACATAAGAATAGCTACAAACGCAAGCACTTTTATAGGTATTGGGCCAAATTTGCACTTTATTCAGACCATATGCTAGCATAATCTGTCATTTATCATATTATATTAATGAATAAAAGTGTATAGTATATGGCTGTCAAATTGTGTATAATTAACTAAAATATCTGAAAATGCTTGCGTTGGTAACTACACATCTACTAAACAAAATGACACCACTATGACCATGATTGAATCATCGGTTCTAGGTGGATTCTACGGCACAGGGGTACATGTCAGGACTTTGGGCTTGCTTCATCGACGAGGGTTCTATAGTGAATGGACCCTCAATATGCATATTCCAGAGTGAAAACCTTTAGAAAAGGATTGAAAAAACAGAGTTTTCTTTGTATAGTCAAAAAAATTTTTTTCTTCATTTTTAATGAATTTTTTTTTAAATGCAGGTTTAAGGTACCTTTCCCCATTAACAACATAACAGAAATAAACGATTTTCTGCGCAGAGCCCTTGTCATACATCATGTAAAAATAAAAACTGTTCTGACTTCTGAAAATTTTCAAATAAACATTCTATGTTACATATAAGTTATTTTTACATTTACATCTTAAATTACTCTGCCTAAGATTCTGCTATTAATGTATATTTTCAGATAACCCACTCGTTTGTGACTGTAAATTGTATTGGTTCGTAGCATGGCTACAAAATCTCCAAGAAAGTAATGAGAAAGAAGACTTAATGTCAAAAAAAAAAACGATTTGCACTATGAAATCAGAACATAGAGAATATCATTTGCAGAATATGCCAGTTTATGAGATGGGTTGCTCCCCTTCAGAAAAGTACAAAAAACTTTCATCGAGTTCAACAACTTACAAAACTAGCACATTTGTATTGATTTCATTTTTAATAGCAATCTAAATAATTAAATATAGGGGCTATCAACTTAATAAGGAAATTGTTCATAAAAATTTTAAAAATTATATTTTATAATGACTGCATTAAAAATGGATACATCTCAATACATTTGCTTTAATGTTTTTATTACAGATAATGAAAAAGTCACTTTTATTGCAAATAATGAAAAGAAACGAAGTAAATTTTTTCAAATAGTTTAACATTTCAAATTTGAAATAATTTTGATGGCTCGAACCGAGAACAAATATTTCTAAGTTTCATATTTACAGTATTTTTTGTTTTTCAAAAATAAGGCATGAAAATTTTTCTTTGTCACAAATGAGGAAATTGTCAACTTACTAGGAAATTCCGGTGGTGGTAACGAAAAAGAATTTTGTCCTTGCAACTATCATATTGAGTTCCCACTATGCACTGCACAAGTATACACATTAGGGTGTCCGTTATTTCCCGACTTTTTTGTATTTCTTGTCTCCCCACCTAGATGTCTTCTATTTTATTAGACAATGAGAAAGACGGTATATAGAGTTCAAAAAAAGCATTTGAAGGTGGCCCCCAAGCGGCTTGAAGCTTACATGTATTTTAAATAGGAAAAACTTAAAAATTTGATTTTTAGCGATAAAAATGATGTGTTATGATTATGTCTTTTGATTTTTTTTCAAGGGTATTTTAAAGGCACTGCAGATATAGATAAAGCTCTTATTAGAAAAAATCCGAAAATCGCACGCTAAAATTAGGGTTTTATCTATATCTGCAGCACCTTTAAAATACCGCTGAAAAAAAATTAAAAGACATAATCTGACTTGAAATTTTCTGCTCTTATCGAATCCGCAACAAAAATTGGGGGTCACCGTATAAAAAATGATTTTTCTCAATATTTTGTTCGCTGTAGCT